GCAGAGAGCTGCCACAATGGCACGGCTCCAACTGCCACAAAAGGCACGGGGGACCCCCCAGTACCTCCGTACAACCCGTCTGGCTGGGCTCAGGAGAGGCAGCTCCACAGCACTGCCTGGGCAGCGCCGCCCAAAGCTGAGTTTGGTGAAGGGCTTTTGGTTTCCACCATATTCCGGAGAGAGGTTTTCCCTGAAAAGCTTTCTCCTGCGTATCCCCGGGAAGCTCTGCATGTAACTGGGTCTCAGGTCTGCAAGGCTGCAATTCAGCAACGCTACCCCAGTTTTGGAGGGAAGGTGGAGAGGAAAGGACACCTGCACTCATTGTGTCAAATATTTTCCTTGGGGAAAAAAAAAAGTAAGCATTTGTTGAAATACGAAATTCTCCTAAAGGCTTTAAGAGGCTCTGCTTTTAGGAACATGTTGGAGAAACATATGGTGCCATTTTAATGAATTTGGTACGACATACCAAATATCTAGGTGCAACCGTGCATGAAAAATTCCCCTTAGCAACCTTCCAGGTAGATTAATGGAGAAGCACCCATTGCAGAGGGAACAATGTCAATCATCTGCATGGTTTTATTTTAAATGAAATGAAACAAACTTGCCATTGGAAAGCTGACATTATGGTGAAAAAGGTGCATTTCCTCTGAGTGTTTTCCATTACATAAACTCAGCAGAGCCCTATTAGCTTGACGAGCTGTGACATCTTGACAGGATAAACCAGAGGCAGGGACAAAGGGCTGCAACTCAGAAAGAGCTCCCAAAAGCCAGGCTGATGCTTCATAGAATCATAGAATCACAGAATGGTTTGGGTTGGCAGGGACCTTAAAGATCATCTAGTTCCAACCCCTCTGCCATGGGCAGGGACACCTTCCACTAGACCAGGTTGCTCAAAGCCCCATCCAACCTGGCCTTCAACACTTCCAGGGATGGAGCATCTATGGCTTCTCTGGGCAACCTGTTCCCGTGCCTCACCACCTTCACAGTAAATAATTTCTTCCCAATATCTAATCTAAATCTACCCTTTTCCAGTTTAAAACCATTACCCCTTATTCTATCACTACGGTCAGTGATAAAGAGTCCCTTCCCATCTTTCCTGTAGGCCCCCTTTAAGTACTGAAAGGCCGCAATAAGG